AAGCTGCACCTGCAGCAGCTGGAGAACTTCTGCCGCACGGACCAGGCCTGCATCTGCCAGCTGTGCCGGGCCCAGGAGCACCGCAGCCACGACGTGGTGGCGGTGGAGGAGGAGCGGGAGCATAAGGAGGTAGGAAAGGGGTTGTCGGGGGGGACTTCCCGCCTCGCCGCACAGCCCTTCCGCATTGGGCCCCAGACCCGTCCGGGGTTTGTTCCCCAGGGCCAGGACAGCAGCGAGTGGTGCACTGAGAGGCAGCAGGGCTGGTATAGCGGGGACTGCAGCTTGGGACTGAGGGGCATCGGCCAGGCTGGGCCAGCAGGGGGCTGTGGGTTTGCATGGACGGGCATAGGCAGGGCTGGGAGGATAGCAGGGGGCTGTGGATGTAGATGGAGAGCCATAGGCAGGACTGGGTGGGGAGCAATGTTCCCTCTAATTGTTCAGTCCATGAGTGGAATAAATATTGTTCTGTGCACCAAGACATGTGCAGATAACCCTCCAACTTGACCCACAGCCTCTCTGCTATTCAAAGCTCCAGCGCTATCAGATTAGAGCAATGATCCCTCTAATTGTTCAGTCCATGAGTGGAATAAATATTGTTCTGTGCACCAAGGCATGTGCAGATGTGCACCACCAGTAGAAACACATGCTGCTGGCTGTGGACAACTGTGGGTGATCTGCTAATCAGCTGGGCAACATGTGAATCTCTCCTGGGTGGCTGTCTAAGCACTCAGCTTACAGGGAACACTGGTGGGGAGAGCTCAGGCTTGGAGGATAGCAGGGGGCTGTGGATAGATGGATGGCCATAGGCAGGGCTGGGTGGGGAGAGGGTTCTGCGGGCTCAGGGCTGGGACAGTAGGAGCTCTGCATATGGGATAGAGCTGGAGCTTTGACTAGCAGAGAGGCTGTGGGTCAGGATGGAGGGGTATCAGCAGAACTGTTTAGTAGGTATCAGAACTGTCATAGCACTGAGGGGCAGGGGTCAGTAGTGATGGATATTCAGAGCTTTTGGGGGGAGGGATCCCAGGATTAGTGTATCAGTCAGTGATGCTGCAGGGCAGGATTAAAAGGCATCACAGATCTGTATGTGGGGCACCCAGGACTGAAATAGCAGTTGAGTCATGACTAAAGCACGGGTTGGGGAGGGGGTTTTCCAAGCTGGGAACACAGTCTGGGCCCGTGCACACACTTAGAACCAAAGTCCCCCAACGCTGTCAAGGCACAGTGCTGGGACATAGTTGGTTTTACAGTGTAGTCAGTCAAGGTAGGATTTTGCCAGTGGGGGGCGAAGGAAGGGGAAAAGATGTCAAAATCCCAGAACACTCTGTGCTTGTTAATTTGAAAATGGTGCTCTGTTCTCTTCAATCCCCTGGAGCTGCGGCCAGGCAGGGGAAAATTGGCGCTGGAAAATCCACTGCCAAGATGGTTTTAAGTAAAAATAACAGTTTGACCTAATACTACAAAGGGTTCCGTCTGGGCTGCCAGATTACACACATGCAAGAGATCTGGTAATGTAACCAATTATGTGTGGGCGGAGAGGAGGCAGAAACAAAAGTCTGGGTGTATCCAAGTCCCTTTGGGAGGTACTGGGCCAAATCCATTTCTGGCCTCACTCTGTTGCCTTCACTGGAATTAAACCTGAGAGCAATTTGTCCGCTTGTGTCTCTTTCCCACAGTATCTTAAATCAGGTCCTTTATTTCTTTTGGCTCCATTCCCAGATTCCATTCCTTGCTCCGTTAGTCTTTTGTGTTCTGTCGGCAGAGTTTTTTTTCCATCCCTCCCGTTCCCAGAGGGGTCTGACTCATTTACCAAATTCTCACCCACAAGCTTTCTGTGAGCTCTCAGATTCATTCTGGATCATCTGCCCTCCTTGGGAAAAGTTCCCAAAACGAAAGAGAAGGGGCAGCTTTTCAGGGCGTTGCCATGACCTGGGTAACAGCCACTGCCCTCTACTGGTTAGCATCAGAGTTGCTGAAACATCTATGTTTATGGCTCTTACACTGCTAACTCATAGTGGGAAATTCTCCGTCAGCTCAAACGGCAGGAGTCTGTTGCTCTTGCGTCTGAGGCTACATCTACACCAGTGGTCCCCAACGCGGTGCCCACGGGTGCCATGGCGCCCGCCGCGGGATTTCTGTGCGCCTGCTCAAACATCTGGGCTGGCCCCGCCCCCGGCGCGCGGCACATGCGCAGGGCCTGCCTGGGGTGCATGGGTGGCCCCAGCCCCGGCCCCAGGGCACATGTGCGGTGCCAGCCTGGGGTGTGTGGCTCATGCGCGGTGCCGTCCCGGGGTGCGTTGCCTTCCCCTGCCCCGGGCGCGCGGCACATGCTCAGTGCGACCCCGGGTGCATGGCTTGTGGGTGGCCCCGCCCCTGGGTGCGCGGTGCATGCGTGGCCCCGCCCCCGTGTGCCCGGCACATGAGTGGCTCTGCTCCTGGGCACCTGGCAGCCACGCAACGTTGGGGACCACTGGTCTACACTGTAGCCTTCTTGCAGAAAAGCTTATGCAAATGAAGCTTGGCATGGAATATCGCCGCACTTCATTTGCATAATTAATGAGCAGCCATTTTTGCGTAAAAACCCCATCTTGTGCGAGAGCTGTTCTCCCTGAAAAAATGTGGAAGAACAGCTCTTGCACAAGAGGGGATTTTTGTGCAAAAAGGAGCCATCTACACTGCTCTTTTTTGCGCAAAAGCCTCTTGTGCAAAAACGGCTGTTCATTAATTAGGGAAATGAAGTGCGGCGATATTCCACTCCGAGCTTCATTTGCATAAGCTTTTCAGCAAGAAGGCTACAGTGTAGATGTAGCTTCATTCCCATTGGTGCTAGCAAGCTCTGTGTGGGTGAGGTTGGTGCTCACAGATCTGATTTATAATGGAGAGTGCCTGTGTGGAATTAACACTTGCTAGAAAAGCCCCAACAGACCTGCTAGTACTCAGCTGGTGGGGGAAGTCATTTTGTTCACACAGATCTAATGCCTTCTTGCTTTCTCCTGCTCCCTTGACACCCACCTGCCTGCCCCATAACCCTTTTCCACCATAGCCATGTTCACCCTGGGGGGCCATGAACAGGGGACCTGAGAAGAGTCCTAGATGCATGTAATGGGTTATGGTGGGGAGGAGCTATCTCTGCCTTTCCATCCACACCTCTCTCTCCAGAAATGCCCCTCTGCAGCTTCAGGAAATATCATTTGCCTCTGGCTGCCTGTCCCAGTCTGACTCACCCATTTATTGTAGGTGCATTGGGATCTGGTTAGGGGTAGTAGATGGTCTCCCAGCTCTTTACCTACAGTTCCCCATACTCCCTGCATGCCCCCTTTTGCACTGTCCATCCACACGGCCTCCCTGACTCCCATCAGTGCCAATGAGCATGACCCCCATCCCTTCCTCCACCAATAGGTGTGCCCCTCCCCTCCCTGCCCCATGTTGGCAGAGCTATGAAGCCAGGATTTGAGTGGAACGCCCCTACATGGAGAGTTTCCTGCCCTGCAAGATGCTGATGATGACACACTGACAGTTCTGACTGGTGGTTAACAGGAGCCACAGAGGTGCAACTGGCACAGCGGGTGGCCATTGGTGCCATGAAAATGCCCCATCCAGTCAGGCAAGCCCCTGGATCATGTTTCGGTTGGCTCGCAGTAGGTGTCGTTCTCATGTGTGGAGCTCAGCAGAGGGGCATGGTGGAAGGATTCAGGGTCAGAGATGGAAGCCAATTGTAGTAAGATGAGGGCCTGACAAGTAAGCCCCTGCTGTGAGGCCTGAGGCCTAGACAGCAAGGTCAAGACTTTGCTATTATAAAGGGGTATGTCTACACTAGCCACCCTAGTTCGAACTAGGGTGGCTAATGTAGTCATTCGAACTTGCAAATGAAGCCGGGGATTTAAATATCCTGAGCTTTATTTGAATGTTCCCGGGTGCTGCCATTTTAAAATGCCCGGTAGTTCAGACTCCCTGCCCGCGGCTACACGCGGCACGGGCTAGGTAGTTTGAACTAAAGCCCCTAATTCAGACTACCGTTACTCCTCATTGCAGGCGCCCGGGAACATGCAAAGAAAGCCCGGGATATTTTAATATTTTAATCCCGGGCTTCATTTGCAAGTTCGAATGACTACATTAGCCACCCTAGTTCGAACTAGGATGGCTAGTGTAGACATACCCAAGCAAAGTGAGTTTAAAATGCCCGGTAGTTCAGACTCCCTGCCCGCGGCTACACGCGGCACGGGCTAGGTAGTTTGAACTAAAGCCCCTAATTCAGACTACCGTTACTCCTCATTGCAGGCGCCCGGGAACATGCAAAGAAAGCCCGGGATATTTTAATATTTTAATCCCGGGCTTCATTTGCAAGTTCGAATGACTACATTAGCCACCCTAGTTCGAACTAGGATGGCTAGTGTAGACATACCCAAGCAAAGTGAGGCTGTGAGCAAGAGGCAGGCCCTGGTCACAGAAGTTGGCAAGAGCAGGGTTGATACAAAACAAACATTCAGACCTAAGAGGTACTAGGCACAGGCCATAAACACAGAACACCTCATGGAAAAACATCTTGGTACCAGCCTCCCCCTCCTCCCAACAGATGATAGGAATATACCGACCCAGGTTCAGGACAGGATCTAAACTAACAGTATGACTAACAGTGATCAAACCCCCGTGTATGAGGTAATAGGTGGTATCTTGGTCAGAGAGTGGCAACCTGATAATGTCAGGAGTGATGTGTAACTTCTTTGTACCTGTGTATAAAAACGGACCCCGAAGAGTTTTGTTTGTTCAGCCGAGGGGGCAGTGTCTCATTCCTGGCACTGACTGAGCTGTTCTGTTGTCAGGGGCTACATAGGCATAGTGGTTCAGTGGACTCTACCCACAACTATTATTGTACTTTGTTTGACAATAAACCAAAATCCTCATCTGATTTTTGGACGTTGTGGGCTCCCCCAGAGTCTGCTGTATTGATTACTTGCGCGAAGTCAACACACACACACAGAGGAACATGCATGCACCTAATGGTGCAGGAGACCTGTCAGGATACCCCACTGGCGACACCTGACTTCCACACCAACGGGGTTTTACCTGCACAGGTTTGAATCCTGCTTGCAGCTCAGTTAAACAGATTAGACAGACATCAATTAGGGCTGGTCTAGATTTACTTGGTCCTAACTTAGTGCAGGGGGTTGGCCTTTCAAAGTCCCTTCCAGCCCCACAGTTCTGTGATTCTGTCATTCTAGAAAACCACCCCGCTCTAGAAAACCACCTCCCTAAAGGCAGGCTGAGTCCATTGAGCTCTTCTGCTTTTTGAATTATAAGCAAACAAAAAAGGATTCAGCATTTGCAAACTGATCACCTGCTGGATTTGAGGGGGCCCATAATTCTGGAACCCCTTGTTTGATTTGCTTGAAATTTGGTAGGCAAGTTCTACTTGGGCCTCAGAGGCATCCTCCTGAGTTTCACCTTAGTTGAGTTTTATTTGCAGGACATGGGTGGGTGGGAATAATAAAGGATATAATGAAAAAGTGTTTGTAATCTTAGCTACAAAGCAACTTCTGTGATTCCCTGCCGGGGTGTGCATAAGCCTCACCTGATAAGACAACTCTTCCGAATGCAGTCCTGGTCTGGCAACTGATGCACCTTTCAGCAGGGCTCTTTTCTTCCTTCTTGTTTTAAAGGCTCAGCGACCCAAAATCCTGAGCTGCGTGGAGAACCAGCTGGATGAGCTAGGAGTCACTGTTGCGCAGACCAGAAAGACCGTGGAGCTCATCAAAGTAAGATGTCCTTGTTGTCACTTTGCCCAGGGCTTGAGCTGGGAATGGAGCCATTCTTCCTCTAACTCAGTGGTTCCCAAACTTTTTGACATCACGCCCCCTTTTGGATTTTTGAGAAATCCTCATGCCCGCCCTCCCCCAAAATAGCAAAACTTGTTGAGCAAAAAAAAATAAAAAAGTGCGCTTTTAAGAGCAGAGCAGGCATTGCCCTTTTAAGGTGGCCATTTTGAAGTCTGCCTGGGATGCTCCATCCTCCCCTGAATTTTTTTACCTAACAGACCGGGCTCTTTCTTGGGGAGGGATTGACTGGGGTGGGGGGAGGGAGGAAGGGCTAGGTCGCCTCGCACCCACCCCTGGAATTTCTTCACGCCCCCCAGTTTGGGAACCTATGCTCTAACAAATACCCTGGAGGGCCCCTCTGGAACTGAGAGTGACGTTGGAGAGACTTCTGCTGGAGGTGGCTTTTCCCAGTGCTCGGCTGCTTTGGGAAAGCGTGGTGGCTGCCTGCCGTGCTGGCATCTGATTTCCCAAGTGGCCATCTGACCTGATCCATGGCCCCAGTCTGGAATGGTGTCAGGATAGGAAATACTGCCCCTTAGAGAACCATTTCTGGGACCAAGTTGCTCCCTGGAGGATCTGAGTTGGGGAGGTACTTCCTTTAGCCCTGTCACACATCTGAGCTTTCTGCAGGCTGAATACACTCCAGGATTATGTATCTGTCACCCGTTTGCTTCTACCGTTCTCCTAGCTTTCAGCACCTGTTTGGGAAAGTGTCATGACCAAGGATTTGCCATTAACTGCATCCGTGCACGGGGCAGCCTGAGGGAAGGTGCCGCATTGCCATGTCCTGCTGAGAGAGGTGGGGGAGCGAAGGGAGAGGCGAGCTGGACAGTGCAGTCATGGTCCACAGCAATACAAAAGGGCACAGTGGGATCTGTGGGGTTCTACTCCTGCCTCTGTCTAACCTTGGTGCCCCCCCTTTCTCCTTATGAAACTTTCCGACCTCAGAGGGGTACAGCGTGGCATAGGGCTTGTTTACACTGCTTGGTGTGGTGGTTTTGGCCACCTCTGGGGATGCAGGGCCTGGAGAGGAAGTGACTGCCAACCTGGCGAACTTGTCCCTCCAAAGTGCAGGGTCCAAAGTGGTCACCCCGATTTGTCTTATCCTAGGAATGGCTCTGACTTCAACTGCACTGTATGAACCCTGAGTGTCCGTACGGTACCCTGGTATAAGTGGTCATTTGTCCCAGTGCACCTACATCAGTGCAGAAAGCCCTTGTACAGGCAAGACCTTAATGAATTGCTGTTTCCAAAGAGCTTTGAGATCCTTCGATTGACTGAGCTGTAGAAAGGGAAAAGCTGATTGCTGATAACGGAGATGCCCGCTTTTGTGTGCACAGAGCACCGCCCTGAAGGAGAAGGAAAAAGTCAGCAGGCTCTTCGACGAAACATCCAGGGCTCTAGTGAGTTTCCAGAAAGAGGTGACAGGCTTCATCGAGGATGGTGAGCGATCCATGCTGGCTGAGGCTGAAGAGGATCTCCGGCAGAAGGAGGAGAGGCGTGCCAAGCTGGCTCAGTGTAGGCAGAACCTGGAGAGGGTCCCAAGCACGGATACCATCTACTTCCTCCAGGTGTGTAGGGACTGGGGCCAGGGCAGGATTTAAAAATCACAATTGGCATGAGATACTGATTG